GATACCACTACTAAATTATTTTTAATACCGGGCATTTACTCGGGGTGTTTTGTAATGGAATCATTGTTACAATCAACTCTTGAATGCTTTTATAATCAAACATGTATCGAACCATTAAGCTCATATTTTTTATCTAATACATCCCTGGTTATAACTACACTTGACTCATCTTTACCAAGTCGTTTTCTTGAAAACTCAACTATACAGGAACTTGTTGATAAATTAATGGTTGAACAATGGAATTTATCCATGACATTTGAAAGTTATTATTCTGCTTGTCAACCAATAAGATGCACCTATAGTTATATAAAAAAACATGATGTAATTTATATGATCACTACAATGTTCGGTTTAGTCGGTGGTCTAATGACAATTTTAAAACTCGTTGTACCACGATTCGTCAAAATACTTGCATATCTATTTCTAAAACGATAAAAGACTATGATTGACTTGTGAAATATTTCAACTTGAACAACAATTTCTTTTCTTCGGCTACTTTGATTTATGTCAGAAACAGTTAATACTGACTTTCTAATGTTTCAAGAACGATTATAGGCAGGACACTTTTCTGGTTCATCAATACTGAAGAAAAAACAATGAGGATCAAACATAGTTATGGAAAAATAAAGCAATAATCGTTTAAATAAATAAAAAAATAGCTTTCGATAATATCCTACGAAAATCACAGGAAGAAAACAAGTCATGAGTTGTCCCATTCGATTTCCAATATAAGTGAAGAGCTAGCTATCGATGATGAATTTGAAAATGTATAAAAACAAATGGCTTTCAGGCTGCAATAGTAAAAAAGCAAAAGAAAATATTCATATAATTTAGCGCGTAGGTGCAAAGGTTACTGTAGCTTTATATTAAAAGAACTAAGACCACTAACACTCACATTCTTGAACTGATTGTTTTTACCAAACATGTTTCTCACTATAGGTGGCTATTCCAAGAAAAATCAGAACTAATGGACCTGGTAAGTAAGAATTCATGGTAAGCGAAGTCGGTCTCTTTAAAAAAATACAACTTTTCCGATGATTCTTAATCGTCTACAGCTCTACCATAATCGCAGAAAAATGAAAGTATTGTTTTTTTATCAAGAAAAAGAATTCAGTTTTAATCCCAGTTTAATATTCATATAGAATACGGTGCGGGTATGAATGCAGATGCGTGGGTATGTGTGTGAAGACGCGTGGAGAATGTGGGTGTGAGTGTGTGTGGATGTGGGTATAGTGATAGACCTTCCTCTTGTATAACACCCACATCCACACCCTCAATAATAAGAAGTATCTTGTTCGATTGTCAATCAAGCTATTTTTCTTTCGATACCTAAATTCTAACACAGAAGCTTTTGAGCCGAAATCATTAACAGAGTTTATAACATGTTAATAAATTGTGACTCTTCTAGAGTATGTCAACATACAAACCTACCGAGAGAATAGTTTTACTTTAGTTGGTATTGTCTTACCCGCAATTTTATACTCCTCTCAAGTACACTGCAAAAAAAAAATTCGTAGAATAATAAACCCAAAAAGGATTGATGGAAGTGCAACGTATAAGAAACCCTCTTTATCGTATGTAAAATTTTCCTAAACCCTTTAGAAACCCTTATAAGGATTGAGGAAAACAATAAACCCTTTTCGAAACATTTTGAAAGGGTATTATGAAAGAGTTTCAGAAATCAATAAGCCCGTACATTAATCCTTCTAGTGGGTTTATAAAAGGGTTTATTATTGTCCTCAACAAGTTTATTTACATTACCACAGGGTCTCGGAAAAGCTATTCGTTCCCAAAATTCATGTGTTCAGTTTGATGAGTCGTGGAAGCAAATCTAAATGAAGAGTAAATAAATATTTAATATGAATAAAACTTACTTGTGATTTTGTTACTGCGACCAAGCTAAACAAAAAGTAAAAAAACTATTCATTTTAAATATACTTACGTACAATTTTGACGTTGATATCTAACTAAATGAAGAACAAACAAAATTATCTATTTTAAAATAAAACTTACAGATGAAATTGAATTTGATATTCAGCTAAAAAGGCTTGTTAGCGCATCTCCTTTGGAGCTGAAATATGGAACTCACATATACTCTTCAATCTTGTTGTCCTAGTATATCATCTGTAAACTGAAACATTTCTTGTCGACTATGGTTGTTCTCGCTAATTATCGATGATAAGAACGAAAATTTATTGTTTATTTCTACATTTGAAGTAGAAAATATCTTTTCGATCCGAGAGCGTCTGATTTTATTTATAATTGTTGCTATTTACTCGATAATAATCATTATTTGCATTTTTTTAATTTGAAATTATTATATTTTTTTCACCATCAACTATGTCATGAGTAGCACTATTAAAATAATGCAGTTTATATGCGTCAGTAGCTCTTACCAGGCTACTATATATTTCAATCAATTCATCAACAATGATATTGTTTACTGTTCAAACTAATAAAATGATCGAATCATGCTTCTCATATATGATTATATGAGTAG